ATACTAAAAAATCCCCGTAGAAGTCCACATACATAACTCACCCACTGATGTTAGCCGTGGCCGGAGAATAGAGTTATTTATTTTTGGCTCGCGCACGGCTAACATCAGTGGCGAGCGATATTTGAACGGATCATCGGTACCGGCAACAACAGCAGCACCACATCGCACAACCCACACTGCAGGCTGCTATCGCGATGATGTTTCCGTCAAACAACGTTGGCGTCTTCATCCAGCAGTGGATTAGCGCGGCGCTGTCTGCTCGTTGCGATGGAGAGTCGTAGGCGTGCGCGTTCTCTCCCGTTTTGGGGTTTCTCTCTCCCGCCTTAAATATTCGTTGAACAATTAATCGGTTCAGACGTCCCCCAAAATTGGGGCAGGACCCTCTTGGATACGAACAACTTGAGCCTCGGCGATAACTTGTGCGGGGAAATGGCACGGCTACAATCAATATATGATCATTCACGCGCATGTGATTGTGAATGAGATATTAATTAATCACCCACGAGTATGTGTAACAAAGCATGTACATATATACAGCACCGTATCTACAATAGCCTATTTTATATCTATGTTTTATCCATGCTTAATATTGCCGATACGCGATTGTATATTATAGATGACATACACAATTTATGATACAGAGTATTAAATATGTTATTTGTACGTATGCATTTGTGATAAACAAATAGAATGTTGACTGACACATCAATCAGTAGCAACACTAAGTCTAGCAAGGCTCCACAGTGAACGATCGAGGAGGCCTTCATACAGCAGTGGATTGATCATGGCTGATTACGAGCTGTATTCGTATACTCAATGATCAACACGTGTGGTATTCACATAAAGACAAAGATCCCCCGTATAGACTTAACCGACCGCAGGGGGCAAGTGCTGTGAACGAGCATCTATCAAAGCCGCAACGGCCCACGAGGGGGTGGGTGGCCAACACCACGCCCGGCCGCCTTTGTCTCCCCCGTGATGATATTTACCCACTGAACCAGGTGGGTAAATTTCAAGGCTGGAGGCCCAGTACCGGTTCGAATATTCGCCACGCATGTTGATCGTGAGTGGGAATGGAGCTGGGCGTGACCAGGTTCGGAGCGCAGTGCGATAACCACTGCGTCACCGCTCCCCACGATATTCACACAAACACACGTACATATTACGCATACCAAATGTGGTATACGGCAATACGTGTATACATTTAGTCTTGTGTGTGTAACTATAGAAATATGATAAGCAATATTTTACAGAAAAACCATACAGTTACAATTTTAGTGCATGTGAATTTAAATGGCAGCTGTTTTAACTCAAATATAATCTACAATTAAAGTGGCACTTCAGCCTGGACGTATCTAACGTCGATAGGCAACCGCATCCCAAGGTGCAGCGGGCATTTATTGTGTGGACAGGGAGGCAGTCACAGGCAGAGGGGACTAACCTGGACTTGAACACGCGCAGGGAGTAGAGAGCACGGAGGTCTGGGTGGAGAGAGCTCCAGACCGTGGGGGCAGCAGAGGAGAATAAGCGACCTCCCACTCAGCACAGGTTGAGCGGTTTCGCTTCCACAGCGGTACAGGAGCACATATATAAAACAATCATCAGCAGCAGCCATGATCAATCTGCTGCTGGATAAAGGCCTCCTCCTTATAGGCCGTGTGGGATATATGACCATACTTCACCACGCTGGTCAGTGCGGGTTGGCGAAGGCGGGTGGGATGGCGATCAACAGTGGATGTTTCTGCCCGACTGGATCTGTACGTTACACGCATGGTGATCCCCGTTCCGTCCGAGCGCTTGCCTGGCCCAAAAATCCCTGCTTAGCTTGCCGGGTCTGAAACGCTAGTTGGACGCGTTCCGGATGATTCGATCATAAAACAGAGACGTCTCCGATTCAGGTTAATCGGCGCGGCCAGCAACAAAGAGGTGTCTTTGAAGTTGTAGGGAGATGATGTTTAGTGAGCTTCTGGAATTGAGCGAGGCAATGATGAAGCTGGAAAAGAGATGGAGATGGGAGGAGATAATTCCAAAGTGGAGCGTTGCGAGGGAAGAAGCCGAGAGAGAGAGGTGAGGTTACCTGCAGTGTGGTAATTGAACAGGTGAGTTAGTGGGTGGGTATTGAGCGAGTGCGTGGATGATCCAGCGAGTGGTGGGTAGTGAGTAGTTGAGTCAGTGAGCAGATGATCGAGTGGACGGGTGAGCGAGTGGATGGGTGAGCGAGTGGATGAGTGAGCGAGTGGGTGAGCTGTTGTGGTCTGCAGAATGGTAGTCGAACAGTGTGGACGATGACACATTTATATTGCGCACTTTTCAGGTTTTCTTCCGTGCTCTTTGTATTCATCAGTGCACAAGATGCGCAGAAAAGTGCGCGTTCGAAAATCGCTCAGCCTTGACCAGACCACCAACTCAAAAAAGTTGAATTGTGTGGCGCATTTGATTCGTTTTAAGGCTAAAGAATTAGGAATATGTGGCCAACACCTCCCCCCCCCCCACGGCTACATTTTCTTTGTCAGTGTTCACGTTTCCTATCCATGTCGTAGCCGCGATGAATACTGAGTAGGGGGAATGTATCAGGAAAGTCTGACTAAATTCCCGCGGCGCCGGTAGGCATGCACACACACACACATATAGATTGATACAACTCCGGTCAGACTTTCTCAACGATTATTGCACGAACAGATGCTGTCTCGTTTACACGGCGAAATACACCGGCAACACGCGTCTCGGGAGAACGCGATTGTAGTTTTACATCACGGTATTGTGACGTACGCCCACGTCCGTCTTGATTGTGTTTCACAGCGGCACACGGGAGCGCGTTCGTTTTCAAGCGGCCCGGTGGGTGGAGGGGGGGGGACACATTCGATCTCGGTTTGAGAAATGAGCGTCGTAAAAAATCATCATTTACGGTCCGCTGCTGGATGGCTTTGACCATACTTCACCAGTTTAACATTCTGGCGAATTGCCCGATGATGCTGGATGTATTTACCAGCGAAACGTCGTACTCAAACTGTAAATGTGGATTCACTCTTCAACACACCGGTGGGCCAAAGTAGTGAATTGTCTTTTGTCAACGTGACACCTTTTTTTGTTTGCTGATTGGCCGTGTCGGGTGGTGGAGGGTTACGACACATTTATAAAATAAACGCGATCTAACCCAAAAACCTTTATTATGCATACTTCACCACGCGGGCGGCAGCACCTGACATCGCTCGTTGCAAACGTTAGCCGCGATGGGGAATCGAACGTAGAGCCCCGTCCGTCCGTCCGCTCGTGTTCCCATGGCGCAATGCGCCAACCACTGCGCCACCGCTGCCCGCCAATGGGACTGTAGAAACGTACTGTGTGTGTATAGTGTGTAACATGTGTACAAGTGTGATACGGGGGATTTATCACGAACGCAAAGCCTCATGGGAATTCCCGAGGTCGACACAGTCTTAAATGAGTACTGTATATCTGATGCGGTGTGAACGATCGGCCTTGGGGAGACAAAGGCGGCCGGGCGTGGTGCTGGCCACCCGTCTCCTCGTGTACCGTGCCGCGTCCTTGATAGGTGCTACTCGCTAACAGCACTTGCCCCGACATTCTGTTGAGGCTATACGGGGGACCTTTGCCTTTGTGCCTTTGAATGCGTATCAGGGCTTAATTATGCATGGAATATTATCCGGGGTCCCTCAAGCCCAAACCCCTCGGACTCTCCCCCCCCCAACCCCACCCCTTCCTCAACCCCTTCCAACCTCGGCAGTCGAGGGGGCGTGACGGACGAATACGAAATTTTCCGGAGTTCAGCCCCGGACAGCTCCGGCTGAAATAAAGCCCTTTTGCTATCGACATGCGGGTGTGGATCTATGTGCTGACGATGACAATTTCCGATACTGCTGCTGATCATGATGCCGATGATGGATTAGCTGCTGATGGCAATGATGCATATAAAGCCCTTTGGTATATACTGTATCGACATACGTGTGTGGACCCATGTGCTGATGATGACAATTCCCGATACTGATGCTGATGATGGATCAGCTGCTGCCGCTGCTGTAGTTCATCATGGCAATGATGTTTACTGATGCTGAATGCCTCTTGATACGACTACTATGTCTGCTGCTGATGATGCTGGTGATGATTACGTTCGCTGTAGCAATCAATAGTGCATTCCGACGCACAGCCACGGGCGTTCAGCGCTCTGTAATGTTTGACTGTGCACCCAAGATCCCATTAAGCCCTGTCGTCGACGTCACCCTTCGTCGTGATTAGTAACCCGAGACTCAGATTTAATTGTCAGAACGGGGGCTACAATGCGTGGCCGCTTTTCGCTTGACACCGAACGTAACTTCTGGAGAAAACATTTAGACGCGGGGAGAAACGCAACAAAGAAACACGTGGCAAAAAAAAACCTGTGTCCTTGTTGCAGCCATGTTCACTTCCACTGCTGGACGAAGGCATCCCACCAAAGCCGTCGCCATCGCTTACGCTCGTTATTATTGTTGTTGTTGGTGTTGTTGTGCTTTGTTTAACCCAGATGAGCCTCACCGACTCGTGTGACTCTTTTGCAGGAGGGCCTGTCAGGTGTGTCGCAGCAGGGGGGCGATGATTGCCGCTCCTGCTGCTGATAATTCCAATCGAATAATTTTCGGTTACATTTTGTTTTTCCAACTTTGGCCAATTCGGACGCCGATGCCGGCACGCAGTGGCGTAGCGAACGGCGTCACGGATCCGGAACGTCCAATTGTGAAGCAGACGGAGTTGCAGTATTGTATGCTGCTGATGCTGCTGTTGACGATGATGACGACGGCAATCATGATGATCATTAAGTCAGTTGCTACTGCTGTCGATAATGATGACCACGCTGGTGATGCTGCTGCTGATACTGCCGCTGAAGATGTTGCTGATCACCATCGCAACAACGGCTACACCCGCCCTCAAACTCCCCCTCCCCCCCCCCTTCCTCCACCCTCACCTCGTGAACCTCCTCCCCGTCTCCTCGTGCCGCAGGTCGCTGGCCCTGAGGGCCCCTGACCGCTCCGAGTCTCCGATGATCGGTGCCCAGCCGCTGTGCGCCTCGGCGCCCGGCCTGTCCCCCGGGCAGCGCAAGCTCTGCCACCTGTACCAGGACCACGTGGCGCACATCGGCGAGGGTGCCCGCCTCGCCCTCAGAGAGTGCCAGCACCAGTTCCGATCCCGGCGATGGAACTGCACCGCTCTCGGCTCCGACGCTGTGTTTGGACCCGTGGCTCAGTCAGGTACGCGTCCCAGTCACACGGAGCGTCTCATGCTCATGTACGCAATGAGGCGGAGGGAGGGAGGGAGGGAGGGATGGGGGATCACCTCCTGTTGACCGCTCCCGGGTAGGGCTGTCAGCTGACCCAGGTTTGACCTGGACGCTCCGGGTGTTGGGCGTCGAATGTGTTCGGGTGGCAGGAATTGATGCGTACGGAGATCTGGGCACCGGACAGTATTGTGTGGGACGTTATGTCAGTCTGTGGACTGATAAACGCGTCCTGGTGGGGTCTGGGGGATAAGGTGGCAACCCCAGCCCCTAGCGAGTGGTTGAAATTCCACATTCCTAAGTCAGGGAGTTGTCCATCCACAGGATAACTACTTTTGCCTTCCTTACAAAGGGATTGCTCATTGTATCGACCCACGAAGCATGATTGGCTGAGTCACCTCCACCCTCCAAAACCGGGATTTGAACTCGCAACCCTGCCATTGCGATCCGCCAGCAGCCAGCTGGCCAGGTAGGCCTCAGGGCGGTCAGTCAGGGACGGGGCTGTGGGGAGGTGGGTGGCCAGGTAGGCCCCAGGGCGGTCAGTCAGGGACGGGGCTGTGGGGAGGTGGGTGGCCAGGTGGGCCGTAGTGGCCGTGTCGGAAACACCGACACCAGGCTCTGGGTGTGTGTGTTGTCTCTGAGAGAGAGACACTTTTCTTGACAGTCAAATGCATGTCCTTCACCTGTGTATGCTCTCGAATGCATGTGCTTTGTCTTGCTGTGTCTCAGTATAATCCAAAGTGTCCCTCTCTTTGTGCTTTCTTCTTTGTGCATTTTGTTGTTGTTGTTGTTCAGTTTTTGTTTCATTTTCTTCAAAGCAGTGCAAGCAGTCAAAAAACACCCCGATAACTTTGCAGAATCAGAATATTTATACTGGAGGAATCCGATGGGCTATAAAGCTCCTTTTTTTACAGATGTCCGTTCTCATGCGTTAATGCCCGTGTCTCTGATCCATATGTCGCGGCAGGTAATAACCTGCATTCATTAAAAACTATATAAATAATATATATAGTTCCAAGCATCACGGTATTTTTCAAAGCGTCACAATATTCCATGCATATTCGTGTTTTTTCCACCGTGTTTCAAAAGTCATACCGTGCCCGCCGCCGCTTCTGCTTCTTGGCGAATGCGGCGCACGTGGAAGGCATTACACACGAGCACGTCGTGTGTAATGTACATTTAAAAAAAAAATACCAACCCCCAAAAAATATCAAAACATTTCCGGAAGTTCTCGCAAGTCTGATTGGGATTGACAGAGATAATTGCGTAGTTAATCGCACATGTTGCATTAACTACTACATAACAATTAATGGACTATATTACAAACTCTGTTTTGTACGAACTGTTACAGTTTAATAAAATCCAGATCTTTAAATAGGAGGGGGAACAATGCTGCTGTTAGCGAGCATCTATTAAGGCTGCGGTGGGAGTGGCCAGTGACTGGCACTTTGCACACACACACACGTGTCTGCTCAACCCACTGTTGGTGTTCACGGTCACACTGTGACACAACGCCATTCATTTAAGGCTGAGTTTATCTAGGGGAAGTCCACTCCGAGTTGATGTTATATGCCAGTGAACTTGAGCTTGTATCATGGTCAGGATTCAAACCTAGGTGTGTAGATATGTAAGGACGGTGGGAGAAGTTTTGGGAAGTGACATTGCAATTAGTTCGAGGAGGAACAATTATACCTCCGTGCACTCCCTCGTATTCCCCGATGGATCAGGAAACACGGGCAATGAGGTGGAGCAACAGCTGAAGCGTGGAGAAATGCACACGCGCGGAATTACATTGGGAGGCAGAAAGGGGATAGACGCGGTTTAGAGAACATACGCTCGTTTCAAGACGTCGTTCGGACTGCTTCAAAGGGGAAACAAAAAATGAGTGGCTTGGTGCGGAATGGACGATGGTGAGGAATAGCGATGGAACGGCAGCCCAAGGACGGAACGTGACGGAGGGGATGGCTGCCCGGGGGGAGATGGAGCCGACGATGGAATCGGTCCGAGTCCAGGCAGTGGATTGATCGCGGCTGATGGTGACGATGATGCAAATGTATTTTAAAGTCCCCTTTTGAAGAGAGACCGGGACCACAAGGACGATACAAGAAGTCGATGTGAAAAAGTAAACATCACGCACGGTCAGAATATTAAAACTTGATTTGAAGCTTTCGTGACTGCAGGAATCCATACTCCCTGGTTCTTTCGGTAAAGTCACGTAGGTAGAAAAAATAATAAAACTAAAAACAATTGTGATCTATTATTTTTGGTTTTATTTTATTTTTCTACTTGCGTGACTTTACCGAAAGAACCAAAGAGTATAGAATATGAAACGTTGCGGCTAAACGATTACATGACTATTATACGTCACAGCACCTTGCCGCAACAGAAGTTACGTATGACCATACCACGTTAAAGATACACGGTGATAAAAAAAACATTAATTGGCAGCTTTATCAATTCGCTGCTGGATGATTTCTCCCTCCCCCACGCCGTATCGGTTGTGGGGGTTGTTTGATTGTATGACCGTACTTCACCATACCGGTCAGCGTAGGGTTGGCGAAAGTCGGGTGGCGGTGGGGTGGGTGCTCAGGATGAGCTCGGATATCGCTCACCACTCACGTTAGACCATGGCCACGAATTGCACCTCGGTGTGTAGGGCCCATGGCTTAGTGCCCTGTCTACCGCGCCACCACCCTGTTGCGATCGATACTAAAGGTGCGGCCCTGCAATGGCGTTTTCACGCCACTGCTGGCGGAACGGCCTCCGCTAGAGGCAGCTGTGGAGAGACCCCATCAAGGGTGTTTTGGTCTACTCTTCCACATCCTAGAAGTGGTGGCAGTACCAATCTCTGAGCCATATTGTACAACACACACACCTATATACATATCCATACATACATGTATACACCCAGAGGTCAAAATGGAAACATGGAAGTCCTCAACTCACTCCATCTATTGAAAATACAGAACAGTAGTGCTGTATTGTAACATGTTTTTGTTATTATGCGTACAACTCAAGAACCCCAAAGTGGTCGGTATAATCATGAGCAATATACCCTCAACCTCTTATAAACAAACACAAATGTCCACACTTTCTGAGAGTGCGTGACCTGACCTGGAGGGCAGAGAAAAACGAAACGTGTCACGGAGAGAGCTGACGGCTTGGCTACCACCACTAAAGACAAAGATCCTCCGTATAGCCTTAGCCGACTGTTGGGGCAAGTGCTGTTAGCGAGCAACCAATGAAGCCTGGCACGGCACACGAGGTGGTGGCCGGCCGGCACTACGCCCGTCCGCCTTTGTCTCCCCAGTGGCGATGTTTACTAAATACCGCACCAGCTACTGATTTCAGACCAAATCGACCTCGGGGAGGCTCAGGACCGTTTCAAATATTCGCTCCCCGCTCATTATTGGCCATGAGCGAGAACCAAACTGGGGTCGCTGGATTCGTAGCGCAGCGCGCTGACCGTTGCGCCACCGCTCCCCACACCACCACCTCACTGCCATCTGCGAATCCGCAGAGCATTCGACATTGAGCGAATACCAGAGAGAGTGCGTAACATTTGCGCATTCGGACAAGGTCAAGGGAAAAAGCCGGGGATTGCAGCCCATTCATCATCCATCCAACCCTTTACAGCAAACAGATGACAGCCACTGCCAGGGCTGCCATCGTCAGAGAGACGCCGTCAAAGGTGCCGACGTAGCAAGTACATTGCGTGCCGCGGAGAGAGTGTTTAGCCATATGGGATATTGGATATATAGAATACACAAAGACAAAGATCCCCCTTATAGCCTGTACAGACTGTCGGGGCAAGTGCTGTTAGCGAGTACCTATGAAGGCCGGCACGGCACACGAGGGTTGGGTGGCCAGCACCACGCCCGGCCGCCTTTGTCTCCCCCAGTAGTGATGTCTACAGTCGCACCAGGTACCCATTGGAGGTTGGGTCGACCTAGGGGAGGCCCAGGACCAGTTCAGATAATCTTCACCGGTGTTGGCCGCGAGCGGGAATTAGAACTCAGGTCTCCGGGTTCGTAGCGCAGCGCGCTAAGTGCTACAGAACACACACACATGCATATACCCAATGGGCACAATGACAATGTGGTCGTCCTGCGTCCCATCCTCACCGCCGTTTCTCCCTCTGCGGGAAAATTTCGCAGCGGAGGTCTAAGTAACCGTAATAGAGGGGGTCTTTTTTCGTGGGGGAGGGGGGGGGGTTAGATCGCGTAAATATAAATGTGTCGTTAAACCTGCCACCACCCGAAAACGGGCAATGAGTAAGGCCTGTCACGTGGTGCGTGTGTGGGGGGGGGGGAGTGGGGGAAGCTCCATCCCAGTGCCGGAGTAAGCTCGTGCGGGGCCTGTAGCATGTTACTAAGGGGCCCTAAATATATTTTTTTATTAAAACACGTACATTTTTAACTTGCATAGTAAAGTAATTGTGTTTTTTTTCATTTGCTATACAGCCAGATAATAATAATACAAAACGCTAACCTTAAACACCCAGTCGTTCATGAAAGTAGAAGGCAGTATAGTACTGTAGTAATAGAGCAAGTGCAGAATCACTGAACCGGAATTGATAGCTTAAAAGCGTTTAGCGCGGGGCCCTTGAAAGTGCGGGGCCCGTAGCTACTACATGTGTAGCTGCTTTTGCTACTACGATAATCCGGCACTGGCTGGGGTCATGCAGGACCTCTCCGGAGCCAGCGCTCACCCCCTCCCTGTCCGCCCTCGCCAAACCATTCCCACGTGCATTCCCACGTGCTGTGCGACATGGTAACAATTTCCAAGGCACGCCGTTTGGGAGGGCATGTATCGGATAATCTGCATTTGTGTTAACCTCTTGGGTTACCTGACTTCGATAAACAATTACAACTCTTTCTTTTTGTAAGAGGCTCGCTTTGCGATGCGTGCTTGGCACGTGAGTGCGTGCGTAGAGCGGTAGTTAGTGGTAGTTAGCGGTAGTGTAGCGGTAGTTAGCGGTAGTTGGCGGTAGTGTAGCGGCAGTTAGCGGTAGTGTAGCGGTAGTTAGCGCGCTGCGCTACGAACCCAGCGGCACGAGTTCGATTTTCGCTCACAGCCAACACCGGTGACGATAATCTGAACCGGTTCCGGACCTCCCCCAGGTCGACTCAGCCTCAAAATGAGTACCTGGTGTGTAACACATCAGCTGTGGAGACAAAGGCTGCCAGGCGTGGTGCTGATCACCCACCATGCCCACTTGGGCCCCCGCCGGTCTGTTAACGTCTGTAGGGGTGTTCTCTGTCTTTGGTGGTGGTATTGGACGCAGCAAGTTGACACAGGTGGTCCATCTGCCAGCCATCTCAGTCAACCCATGGCACCTGCTGGGTCTGTCCTGTGACCTGCCAGCAGCGAGAGCCTTCCGCACTTCCACGCTGACAGCCTCAAAGTGCACCTAGCCTGGCACAGGCGCCTTGGCGACGTCACCGGCCGTTGTTGTTGATGTTGTGGCGGTGCAGGTTCGCGCGAGGCCGCCTTCGCGTTCGCGGTGTCGTCGGCGGGCGTTGCGCACGCGGTGTCGCGCGCGTGCCGCGAGGGGGACCTGGCCACGTGCGGCTGCAGCCGCGCGGCGCGACCCGCGGCGCTGCCCCGCGACTGGCTGTGGGGCGGCTGCGGCGACAACGCCGAGTACGGATACCGCTTCGCGCGAGAGTTCGTGGACGCGCGCGAACGCGAGCGGGGAGGAGGAGGAGGCGCCGGTGGCGGTGGTGGCGGTCGATCGTCTCCAGAGTACGCGCGCGCCGTCATGAATCTGCACAACAACGAAGCCGGCCGTCGGGTGAGTGGGTGGGTGAGTGTGTGGGTGGGTTAGTGGGTGAGTGTGTGGGTGGGTGAGTGGGTGGGTGAGTGGGTGGGTGAGTGGGTGGGTGAGTGTGTGGGTTAGTGGGTGAGTGTGTGAGTGTGTGGGTGAGTAGGTGGGTGAGTGGGTGGGTGAGTGTGTGGGTGGGTGGGTGGGTGAGTGAGTGGGTGGGTGAGTAGGTGGGTGAGTGTGTGGGTGTGTGGGTGGGTGTGTGGGTGGGTGAGTGGGTGGGTGTGTGGGTGGGTGAGTGGGTGAGTGAGTGGGTGAGTGGGTGAGTGGGTGGGTGAGTGGGTGGGTGTGTGGGTGGGTGAGTGGGTGGGTGTGTGGGTGGGTGAGTGGGTGGGTGTGTGGGTGGGTGAGTGGGTGAGTGGGTGTGTGAGTGTGTGGGTGAGTGTGTGTGTGTGTGGGTGAGTGGGTGGGTGTGTGGGTGGGTGAGTGGGTGTGTGTGTGGGTGGGTGAGTGGGTGGATGTGTGGGTGGGTGAGTGGGTGGGTGTGTGGGTGGGTGAGTGGGTGAGTGGGTGTGTGAGTGTGTGGGTGGGTGAGTGGGTGTGTGTGTGGGTGGGTGAGTGGGTGTGTGTGTGGGTGGGTGAGTGGGTGGATGTGTGGGTGGGTGAGTGTGTGGGTGGATGATTGTGTGGGTGGGTGAGTGGGTGGGTGAGTGGGTGGGTGTGTGGGTGAGTGTGTGAGTGTGTGGGTGGGTGAGTGTGTGAGTGTGTGGGTGGGTGATTGTGTGGGTGGGTGAGTGGGTGGGTGAGTGGGTGGGTGTGTGGGTGGATGAGTGGGTGAGTGAATGGGTGGGTGAGTGGGTGTGTGTGTGGGTGGGTGAGTGGGTGGGTGAGTGAGTGTGTGGGTGGGTGAGTAGGTGGGTGAGTGGGTGGGTGAGTGTGTGGGTGGGTGGGTGGGTGAGTGAGTGAGTGGGTGGGTGAGTAGGTGGGTGAGTGTGTGGGTGGGTGTGTGGGTGGGTGAGTGGGTGGGTGCGTGGGTGGGTGAGTGGGTGAGTGAGTGGGTGGGTGAGTGTGTAGGTGAGTGGGTGGGTGAGTGGGTGGGTGTGTGGGTGGGTGAGTGGGTGGGTGTGTGGGTGGGTGAGTGGGTGGGTGTGTGGGTGGGTGAGTGGGTGAGTGGGTGTGTGAGTGTGTGGGTGAGTGGGTGTGTGTGTGGGTGGGTGAGTGGGTGGGTGTGTGGGTGGGTGAGTGGGTGTGTGTGTGGGTGGGTGAGTGGGTGGATGTGTGGGTGGGTGAGTGGGTGGGTGTGTGGGTGGGTGAGTGGGTGAGTGGGTGTGTGAGTGTGTGGGTGGGTGAGTGGGTGTGTGTGTGGGTGGGTGTGTGGGTGGGTGAGTGGGTGGGTGTGTGGGTGGGTGAGTGGGTGTGTGTGTGGGTGGGTGAGTGGGTGGATGTGTGGGTGGGTGAGTGTGTGGGTGGATGATTGTGTGGGTGGGTGAGTGGGTGGGTGAGTGGGTGGGTGTGTGGGTGAGTGTGTGAGTGTGTGGGTGGGTGAGTGTGTGAGTGTGTGGGTGGGTGATTGTGTGGGTGGGTGAGTGGGTGGGTGTGTGGGTGGATGAGTGGGTGAGTGAATGGGTGGGTGAGTGGGTGTGTGTGTGGGTGGGTGAGTGGGTGGGTGAGTGGGTGGGTGAGTGGGTGGGTTGGTGGGTGAGTGGGTGAGTGGGTGGGTGAGTGGGTGGGTGAGTGGGTGGGTGTGTGGGTGAGTGTGTGAGTGTGTGGGTGGGTGAGTGTGTGAGTGTGTGGGTGGGTGATTGTGTGGGTGGGTGAGTGGGTGGGTGAGTGGGTGGGTGTGTGGGTGGATGAGTGGGTGAGTGAATGGGTGGGTGAGTGGGTGTGTGTGTGGGTGAGTGGGTGGGTGAGTGGGTGAGTGGGTGGGTTGGTGGGTGAGTGGGTGAGTGAGTGGGTGAGTGTGTGAGTGTGTGGGTGGGTGAGTGTGTGAGTGTGTGGGTGGGTGATTGTGTGGGTGGGTGAGTGGGTGGGTGAGTGGGTGGGTGTGTGGGTGGGTGAGTGGGTGTGTGTGTGGGTGAGTGGGTGAGTGGGTGGGTGAGTGGGTGAGTGTGTGGGTGAGTGGGTGAGTGTGTGGGTGGGTGAGTGGGTGGGTGAGTGGGTGAGTGAATGGGTGGGTGGGTGAGTGTGTGGGTGGGTGAGTGTGAGTGTGTGGCTGGGTGGGTGGGCGAGTGGGTGGGTGTGTGGGTGAGTGGGTGAGTGGGTGGGTGAGTGGGTGGGTGAGTGGGTGGGTGAGTGGGTGGGTGAGTGAGTGAGTGAGTGGGTGGGTGGGTGGGTGAGTGGGTGGGTGGGTGGGTGGGTGAGTGAGTGGGTGGGTGGGTGAGTGAGAGGGTGGGTGGGTGAGTGAGAGGGTGAGTGGGTAGGTGAGTGAGTGGGTGGGTGGGTGAGTGAGTGAATGGGTGGGTGAGTAGGTGAGTCAGGGGGTGGAAGGGTGGGTGGCAGGATTATGAGTGACGTGGCTGTTGAGGTGCGCAGGCGGTGCAACTGCTCCGCAGCTCACAAACCCCAGTAAACTTGCAAACGCTGGGCCAACGCTGGCACGTGGTTAGAAACGTCGGCCCAACGCCGTTAGCCCAGCGTTAGCCCAAAGTTCCACGTTGACTGGGGGGTCGCGAGGGCGGTGACGAGTTGTGGGGTTGGGGAAGTGCAATGGGACAATGCCCCCCCCCCGCCCTGCCACGCAAACCGCGGCATGGATCGCTGCCGACACGAAAGTCCATCTCAGACCGCCGGCTTTTTCTGGTGGGGGTTTAACGATGCATCGAAGGTATCGACTCATATGCACACATTGGTTTAGCCCGTGTTGCATGTCAACGAGCTCACATTTGCTGCCAGTAGAGGCGACAATTCCTAACATCTCAACGGGGAATGCGGAATTCCAACCACTGGGTCAGGACTATGAAAAACGGGGGTGGCGGTGGTTTTGGTAGTGATGATGATGGTGTTGTTGGTAATTATGGTGGTGAAGATGGTGGTGGTAATTATGGTGGTGATGGTGATGATGATGGCGGTCGTGATGATGATGGTGGTGGTGATGGTGGTGGTGGTGGTAATTAAGGTGGTGATGATGGTGGTAGTGATGATGGTGGTGGTACTGGTAATGATGATGGTGGTGATGTTGGTGGTAGTGATAATGGTGTTGGGGATAGCAATGGTGGTGGTGATACTGTTGGTGATGGTGGTGTTAGTGGTGTTCGTGGTAATGATGGTGATGTTGGTGCTGATAGTGGTGATGATGGTTGTGGTGATGATGGCGGTGGTGATAATGATGTTGGTGGTGATGATGGTAATGATGTTGGTGGTGGTGGTGATGACGATGATGGTGTTGGTGGTGATCACGGCGTGGCTCTGCAGGCGGTGTACAGCCTAGCGGACGTCGCGTGCAAGTGCCACGGCGTGTCGGGCTCCTGCTCGCTCAAGACCTGCTGGCTGCAGCTCGCCGACTTCCGTCGAGTCGGGGACCGCCTCAAGGTGAGCTCAGCCGCCCCGAGGGGGTGGGGGGGGGGGGCGTGCAGGCGGTGACACTGCACCGGGGCCCAGCGCCCCGAGAGGGTGCTCAAGAGAGCGAGAGGCAAAGCGAGGCCACGTGGCCTCGCTTCAGTCCATGCGCCAGGGTATCCGTCGCGCCAACCTCGTCACTCCGCGCGATTTTATGCGGACCGTGTGGACGTGTTGATAATAATATAATCAAAGCCGGGCTGACTGAGACCCATCCTCTCTGGGTTTAGGACTACAGTTGGACCAGTGGCCACACTGCCGGGTGCACGATGGGCGATTGGTTGTGGGTAGTGTCAACGATTCAGAGACAGAGTTTCTCGGAGGCACTTTCTTTATTAACAACTTCAGGGTCTCGTCCGCACACTCTCCACTGTAGCTCAGCCTCGCCTGTACACAACCCTAGCCGTCAAACACTGACGGCGCTGACTGAGATAGCCAACTACTATCCCTCGTAGCGCAACATCTAGCGAGGACGGCAGCGACGACGAGACGAGTCCACTTCTAGAACCGGCAGCCTCGAGCCCCCCGCTCTCGGCTCCTTTTATGCTCCCCAGCGCGGCCTGGCTCCGCCCCGACCGTGCCTCCCTTCTCGAACCCGCTAGCAGGTTCCAGGGGCCTCCAGACGGGGTCCTCCGTGACCCTTGCCCCAGTTCCTCGCTCTGCCTACACCACGTGCACGCCCTCACCGGCGTGTGTGATGTCTGTCCACCGCAGTTGCCGCTGCTGTCCACTAGCCGGCGCTATTACACTACACTTGGATAATTATCGATAGGACAGATACAATTCTATAGAGATGCCGTGCTCCTCATTACCCGGATGAAAGTTGTTAATGCCCCTTGTGAATTGCACTTTTATTCTTTAATGAATGCATTTTGAATGCAGCTAACTAACGAGACATCATGAGCAATGATGAGACATCAGCCGCACGTGACACTTACCACCAGGATTCTACGAGGCATCTTGTCTTGGTTGTGAGAAATTGCCATTCGGAACGCTGCCGCAAGCACTGCATCAACCTGTGTCAAAGGAATAACCACAGGGAGACGACGTCGCTGAACACCGCTGGTGCACAGCCTGCAGTAGGCCTCGCTCTACACACTGGGCGCGCACCTTCCAATAGAAAACAATGGGCCACTGCCACGTCTGCGATGGAGCCGATCGCCACCGGGACGCATCCGCCGGGAGGGCCCCTGCAACCATAGCCTAGTGGTGGCGCTAGGCCCAAGCAAACCGAGCAAACTCAATAACCACGCGGCTCCTCCTCCTCCTCCCCTGTCACGAGCTATGACGACGACGATGACGACGACGACGACGATAACGACGACCGCGGTGGCGCCTGCAGGAAAAGTACGACGGAGGTGCTGCCATGAGGCTGGTGAGCCGCAAGGGGAGCGGTGCCGCCGGTGGCGCTGGTGGCGGCAGCGGCGGGCGGTCGTCTCCGCAGCTGGAGCCCGTGAACGGGCGCTTCACGCCGCCCACGCAGGACGACCTCGTCTACCTGGACGCGAGCCCCGACTACTGCACGTACGATGAGACGCGCGGCATCGCCGGCACGGTGGCGCGCCAGTGCAACCGCACGTCCGAGGGCACCGACGGCTGCGAGCTCATGTGCTGCGGCAGAGGATACGACCACTACAAAGGTGCCAAAATCCTTGCAGCTTCCCTTCGCTATCTCTGTCGCATTTGAGTGTAAGCAGATTTCTGGAATAAGGGAAAGTTAATTTTTTTGTTTAAACATGGTGCGGCTGAAACTCGACTTTGAGCCAACGATCCAAAAGGTGCCGGCTCATTGACCCTGACACGGCCACTACGATTCAGCCAAGCCACGCGGCTAGCTGCAGAAGCTTAAACTTTCCTCGCTCCCATACGGATTCTTCATCTGATGACGTAACGGAAATTGCATGAATTGGGATAAAAATTGGGGACAAATGACGACAACAGCAACAACAAATGATCTCTCCGGCGTGCGTTCGGGGGTCGGTACCGCACGTTCGCCAGGCACGATGTCTGACGTTTCGCCCCACGCCCGCTGCATTCCCCTCCTCCCCAGCCACGGTGGTGGAGCGATGCCACTGCAAGTTCCACTGGTGCTGCTACGTCAAGTGCAGGATGTGCACGGAGATCGTCGACCGATTCGTCTGCAAGTAGCCAGCACGGCCCCCATGGCCCCCACGGCCGCCCCGGTTTGGCCGAGCGATACCGTGGCCCCAGCGCCCTCCCGCCCCGGCGTCTCCACGTTGCCAGAACCCCAAACGCCTTCTCTCTCGACGGGCCGGACGCCAACAACGCCGCCGGCCCGCACGCAAATCCCCACTCGGCGTCAGCCACGAGCCTGGCGCGTGGCTTCAGCCGCAGCCTGGCTGCTACTCGTCACGTGCCACCTGCAGCTCCGGGCTAGCAGCGACCCGGACAAGATTTCTACACCCGGCACACCACATCCAACGTACCTCTCCCACTGTGGGCTGTGGCAGCGACCAGTCACGTGCCACCTGTTTTACAGTCGGAAGATGTTGAGCAAACAATTGAAGCCCCGGGTGTTATCGAAACAACAACAACAACAAGGCTCAAGTTACCGTCGCCTGCATTATTATTGTAATTATCGTCGCTATTATTTGTCGCACTGTTTTTTGTTGTTGTTGTTGTTGCAACTCGACTGAGAAAGTGGATTGGTCTTTAAACTGGCAGCAGCTACTGCCTTGCCTTTGGTGTCACCAAAAGCCGACGTCTGAAGGGGCCAGGATATCACCCACCTCCGGCTGCTGCCGGCGTTCTGAAGGCACCACGTTGTGAAATGCCTTCTCCAACTGTGAGTCGTCATGACCTGGCGCCCCCCCCCCCTCTCTGTCTCTGCTCCGGAGAGGGCCTCCGTTCCAAAAACTTGAAACTGACATTGGGGGCTTAACTTGAGCCCGGATCTGTCCGGGGATTGGCGACCCGTAAAATATTTCCTCTCTCTCTCTCTCTCTCGCTACGGCTGTGGCTACCCTGCCTACTTGCCCCGGTCTACCGGCGACCCGCCGGCAGATATTCGGAGCGCGATCGAGGAACCGGGTTGCGACGAAAACGTTGCCCGTTGGTGCGAGGCAGCGCGAACGGCGTTTGCTTGCGGCGAGGCGTTTGCGCCGCCGCCGCTGCCGCCGCCGCCGCCGCCGCCGCTTCCGCCGCCGCTTCCGCCAAGTGCCCGGGGACGCTCGCGACGACTTCGCTCTGACGGCCGTCAGGGGACGGCGGACGGCCGCTCTGTCGCGAGCTGCTGTTGGCGACGTGGCCCGGGGGGGGAGAGCGCCGAGCCGGTCGGCCGCAAGCGGTCAGTCGACGTTATTCCAGTCGCCGCTGTTTACGAGGGAGAGGTGTCACCCGCTGTCGATAATTTTTTTTTTCCGTCCGTCAGACTGAGAAAAGCGGTTGGACTTGCGCGGCGCTGCGGCGGGTGGAGAGCGACCGACTCGCGAGGTCAAACACCGAGGTCGGGGGTCGTCAGAAGCCCAACATCATCATCATCATCATCATCCCTCCAGGGTTAATAAAATGAGTACCGCTTTGTGGGAAGTCAACAAACGGGTAGTCCCGTAGAGAGACTGATGCCACCCCCCCCACCTCCTCCTGGCATGGAAATGTTGAAGTAATGGGCCCCGCCACCTTGCTCGTCTGCTCGAGCAGGGAGACACTCCTGGACGTTTAAAAGTATGTTTGTCAATTCGAGAATAAACGGGAAAACCATCGTCACGGGGCTCAATCGGGATCCGTCGTGGGCACGTTGTGAATGAGTTATCGGCGAGCTGCGGTTTGCAATATGGAAGGGATCGTTGTACAAACATTTTTTGTCGCTCACATTCTTAACTTATCGAGCCGGATTGAATCTTGGAAAGTAAAAAATTCCTGCATGGCAACAGCCGTTTCAAATACACAATGTGTCTATGTAATTGCATGCATGCTAACTAAGAGTATGTAGGAGACGGTATATACTGTGTACGACAAGTTTCTTAAATCCCTTCCTCGCCCACCCCACCGAGAAGTAGGCGGTGGGGTAAAGTGTGGGTAACTCCCCCCACCTCTTTCAAATCGTCTGGCCGCTGTGGTCGTGTGGGAGCAGGACCCTTGAGAGGCGTTTCTCTGGAGCTTCCACCAGCAGTGGTGTGAGCAGGCAATTGCAGGGCAGCACCTTGGGCGTCACGGTGGCTAGGAGATGTCAGCTCCATCGTCTGGTGTGCAGGAGGTCGTGGGTTCCATCCCGATCCCTGACGCCTGCTGCTGCTGCTGGATATTTGGAGTTTGCGCGTCTCTCTCTCTCTCATCACGGTGGCTAGGAGATGTTAGCTACCTCGCCTGGTCTACAGGAGGTCGTGGGTTCTATCCCGACACTGACGCCTGCTGCTGCTGCTGGATATTTGGAGTTTGCGCGTCTCTCCGCCAGTGGCCACGTGGATTTTGATACAGGTCCTCGGGTTTTTTTCCCTCCAGAGTTTTGGCTTTTATAAATTTCCACCTGATAAGCCACTTTGTTGAGCTATCATTTGTGGCCAGGTCGCTTCTGAAAAAGAGATAAACAGCTGAGTGGGCCTTACATGGTTAAACAAAAATAAAAATGTAAATAGCAAAAATAAAAAAGGCTTTGCCACGCCTTACTCTGTACAAGGGGCAGTCAAAAATATTCAGAATGAAAAGCACGGTATTTGTGAGCTTCGTTCACAAGACCCCCTCTATTTATGTCCCAGACACAACGGTGACGCGCGCGGTTGCGTTACCGATACCGAGCTGCACAGTGAACCGTGGGCTCTGGACGTGCGTGAAGTCACGACCTGTTCTCACAACTTATTGACTGCCTCTTGTTTAAATACATTCATATCCTGCCGAGGGATGGGGGTGGGGGTGGAGCGGTGGCACAGTGGTTGGCACACCGTGCTATGAATCCAGCAACCTGAGTTTGATGCCCGGGGTCAAGGCGAATTGACCGACTTCAACTCGCCAATACCGCACTCACTAGAAGTGGTGAAACGCGGACAAACGACCCCTATGGCCGACTCGAGTGTGCGGAAGCCATTCATCCCAAAGCGCCGAACATTATCTTCATCATCATATTCATCTTCATTATTTTTATGATGATGATGGAGTATATCCTGTATATAACTTGGCGCACACAGTGACTCTCTCAGGCACACAGACACACGCACAGTCACCCTCTCAGGCACACAGACACACGCACAGTCACTCTCACAGACACACAGACACATGCACAGTCACTCTCACAGACACACAGTCACTCTCTCGGACACACGCACAGTCACCCTCTCAGGCACACAGACACACGCACAGTCACCCTCTCAGGCACACAGACACACGCACAGTCACTCTCACAGACACACAGACACATGCACAGTCACTCTCACAGACACACGCAGTCACTCTCTCAGACACACGCACAGTCACTCTCTCAGACACACAGACACACGCACAGTCACTCTCTCAGGCCCACAGACACACGCACAGTCACTCTCTCAGGCCCACAGACACACGCACAGTCACTCTCTCAGGCACACAGACACACGCACAGTCACTATCTCAGGCACACAGACACACACACAGTCACTCTCTCAGACACAGAGACACACGCACAGTCACCCTCTCAGGCACACAGACACACGCACAGTCACTTTCTCAGGCACACAGACACATGCACAGTCACTATCTCAGGCACACAGACACACGCACAGTCACTCTCTCAGGCACACAGACACACGCACAGTCACTCTCTCAGGCACACAGACACACGCACAGTCACTTTCTCAGACACACACACGCACAGTCACCCTCTCAGACACACAGACACACGCACAGTCACTCTCTCAGGCACACAGACACACGCACAGTCACTCTCTCAGGTACACACACGCACAGTCACTCTCTCAGGCACACAGACACACGCACAGTCACTCTCTCAGACACACACGCACAGTCGCCCTCTCAGACACACAGACACATGCACAGTCACTCTCTCAGACACACAGACACACGCACAGTCACTCTCTCAGGCACACAGACACACACACAGTCACTCTCAGACACAGACACACACACAATCACCCTGTCAGGCACACAGACACACACAGTCACGCACAGTCACCCTCTCAGACACACAGACACATGCACAGTCACTATCTCAGGCACACAGACACACGCACATTCACCCTCTCAGGCACACAGACACACGCACAGTCACCCTGTCAGGCACACAGACACACACAGTCACACACAGTCATCCTCTCAGGCACACAAACACATGCACACTCTCCCAGGCACACAGACACACGCACAGTCACTCTCTCAGGCACACAAACACACACACAGTCACTCTCACAGACACACGAACAGTCACTCTCACAGACACACGCACAGTCACTCTCTCAGACATGCGCACAGTCACTCTCTCAGGCACACAGACACACGCACAGTCACTCTTTCAGGTACACAGACGCACAGCCACCCTCTCAGACACACAGACACATGCACAGTCACTCTCTCCGACACACAGACGCACAGTCACCCTCTCAAACACACAGACACACGCACAGTCACTCTCTCAGGTACACAGACGGCACCGTTTTGGACGTCTTGTTTGCATGGATGGTACCCGCCATGTAACCGCTCCCGTTTATACAAACTTACAATGTTTGTTTTATCGTACCAGGCAAGGCTCCACTGAGCTGTGTGGCTCTTCTTCTTTGGTTCTTTCGGTAAAGTCACGTACAATGAGAATAAAATAATAAATTAATAAAATAAAATAACACAATAAAATTCTCACGACGTTTCGGCCACAACACAAGTGGCCTTCCTCAGATGAAAGGAACAGACCTGTCGGGACGACAGAGCTTCATTGAAGCTTCATTGAAGCTCTGTCGTCCCGACAGGTCTGTATGAGAAGAAGGCCACTTGTGTTGTGGCCGAAACGTCGTGAGAATTTTATTGTTATTTTATTTTATTAATTTATTATTTTATTCTCATTCTACGTGACTTTACCGAAAGAACCAAAGAAGATGAATCCTTGCAATCACGAAAGCTTCAAATCGAAATGTGTGGCTCTTCTTCAGAAGCGACCCGGCCAACACAAACGAGAGCTCAACGAAGTGGCTCATCATCATCATCATCACGTGGGAATGCATAGCAGCCAAATACTCTAAACGCGTGATGTTGTTTCTAAGCGTAGAGAGAAAACCGGAGGATCGGCAGAATAAATCCACGCGACCACGGGGAGAGAGACACGCAAACTACAAATGTACAGCAGCAGGCGTCAGGGTCGGGATCGAACCCACGACCTCCTGTGTATAAAAATCCACACTATTCGAGTAACCCCGAAACAGGCGAAGCTTGCGAAATGAAGCGGCCTAGTTTCAGCGAACACGACTCCCTCCCCGTACGTTCACTTCGCATCGCTCGATACGGCATTGGGAATTGTCAGGCCTGATTCGTGCGTTTGGCAAAAATCATCATGGCCGTGTATGTTGTACCTACTACCCAGGGTCCCAATTCGACAAGTAACACCGCAAGTTACTCAATCGGGGATTATAAAGTTTAACACGTAGTAGCAGGCTTTCGCGACCAATATCATCCATAGGTTTTTTTGGGTTCGATCGCGTAAATATGAATGTGTCGATAAACCCACCACCACCCCACACAGCCAATCAGTAAGGTTTGCCATGTAAACAAAACGTGCCAATTAGTTATTAGCTCAGCACACCGGTGTGTTGGAGAGTAAACCCACAACATTTACAATTTGAGTACTGTGACGTTTCGCCGGTAATGACAATAACGGCCAGCATTATCAGGCGACAGCCAGAGTTGTGAGAAATCCTCCTCCTGTTTTAGTCTTAAATACACAGGGGATGTGATGACTTCACTCGTGAGCCAATCAGGTGCGAAGAGCAGAGGCGGGTTGGGGGCGGGGTTAATGTATTCATATAAATTACTATGGATATCTATTATTGGTTGGATTATTCACATTTAACCGACACACATAATGTACATTGTGTATTATGTAAGTACATCCTGCCGTCTTTGGGTCCCAAAATCGCAAAACGTGTTATTGGCTGCTCACAGCTAATCACCATCGACGTATGGTGAC